GAAAACTGGCTGGACACGGTGGCTGACGCCTGTAATTCCAGCACTTTGGGAGGACGAGGGGGGCGGATCATCTGAGGTTGGGAGTTCCAGACCACCCTGACCGACATGGAGAAACCCCGTCTCTACTAAAAATACAAAATTAGCCGGGTGTTGGTGGCGCATGCCTGTAATCCCAGCTGCTTGGGAGGCTGAGGCAGGAAAATCGCTTGAACCCGGGACGTGGAGGTTGTGGTGAGCCGAGATCTTACCATTGCACTCCAGCCTGGGCAACAAGAGCGAAACTCCGTCTCTGTCTCAAAAACTGGACTTGTTATTTTGATCATGTACAAAACACAGGTAAGTCTGATGCTCTGGGCACATGGGATGCTGTTAACAGTTGGAAGAGGGGAGAAACATTTCTTGAGGTGCTAATTGAAGTGCTTGAAATACTTTATGTTATTTAATCCTCATAACCACACTGAAACATCGTTGTCCTAGTTAAGACTCTTCAGCTAAGACTCTTCAGTTGCAAGAAACAGAAATCCATTTCAGACGGCTTTAAGTCAAACAACAACAACAAAAAGCATTTGTTACATGGGCGTAAGGTTATTTCACAGAACCCAAGAGTAAGAATGCAGCTGGGTCTTAGGCTGAACCAAACCAAGTGCTCCTTGAGGCTCTAAATATATTTTTCATCTCCTAGATAAACCATATTTCTATATGTTAAACTGAATATTTCAAAGGAAGTCACCAATAATAGGTGCCTTGGGGGCTTCCGTGAGGGTTCAGGGCCCTGGACATTACCGCTCCACTCCTATCAGAACAGCTCTGTTTTTATTTGGTTAATATATCAGGATTCCGCTTAAGAGTTCATTGAGGAAATAGCACAACAGTACCTCCTCTGGCCAGATACTGTGCGAAGAATTACAAAATAAATCACAGACGAGTGGAGAAGATAGGAAAGTAAATACACTCTAAAACAATAAGGGAGTACAGTGACAGAAAAGCGCACAGATTATTAAGGGAACTCAAAGAAAGTCTAGTAAACCCAGAAAGGGCTAGGGCTTATGGGAGGTTTCACCGAGTGGGTACCTGGAAAGGGGAGGTAAGGCAGCTCAAAGGACACTTGTTCAATGGAGGGAAGAGGATTCAACAATTATGCAATTCGCTGAGTCGGGGCTATCACTGCGAAAGAACTTGGCTTCGGATCCGCGGTCAAGGCTGGGAGCTATGGAGGCCGGATGTGATTGGCAGAGACCTCTGCTCAGGTCTGCGTCAAGTCTTGCTTCGCTCCCATCCCATCCTGCGCCAATGGGGCGCAGTATCCCAACCATTCCACTCGGCTAGGAGGGGATCCTAAGCCTCAAGGTCCGCATCTCCGGCTGGAGGGACTGAGCAGCCGCACTGGTGTCCCAGAATAGATCTTGTTCCCCAGAGGTTGTCAGGTTACCGCAATTCGGCGCAAGCAAGGCGGCCAAAGAGAGGGCGCTCATTGGCTGCCACAGCCCTAGTCGGAGAGGGGGAGGAAGGTTGATTCGTCACAGGCTGTCTGCGCAGGCCACTCCTATCTCCTCTCCAGGTTCTAATTAGGTCAGTGGCCCTACAGCCTCTTGGGTAGTTTGGAAGTGCGTCGCGGAGCCGGCCCTGGAAATATGGCGTCAACTTCAGGTTTTGGTGTGAGGGAGTCGAGGGCCCAGCCAAACCCTGCCGGGGGCAATTCCTGGGTACCCTTCCCACATTTTCGGTCTTTGGGCTGCGCCGTGGTAACCCTAGAGCCTAGTTGCGTGCCCACCGGGGAGAAGTGTCTTTGCATTAGGACATGAAAGGGGACTGGAAAGTGCCGTGCAGTTTCAGGGTAGTTTCTGGTTAATTACATTTTCATGGGTTTTCGCAGAGTCTGGGGGCAATTTGTGTCCTTCAGAGACCAGGGAGGGACCTGGGCCCAAGCTACGGCAGGGGAGACGCAGCCAAGGCTGTGCGAGCTCGCTTCTTGTGCGAGCTCCGTTCGCGTCCGTTCCCGCCTTGCGGCCGTCCCTCCGTCAGCCCAGGTCCTTGAATGAGACAGTGCTCGCCCTTGAAAAAGCAGTTCTAGGTCACTCGGCCTGCTTTTCCAGCATTCCGGGCCCCAGCTCGCCTTCTGCCATCCATGTTGACAGCACCAGTTCTACGACGAAGCGAGCGATTCCTCTTGCCTGGAATTTCACTCGTCCCTGGTATCGAACCCTCTGCCCCAATTTTCTACCTTACAACTCCAGCGTATTTTTAACGGCTCAGCCAATATCAGCTCCTTGGTATAAAGCCTGCGCCGTGCTAGCTTAGGAACAGGAGCTATGCCGTTTTATTATTTTTCTTTATTTTAATTTTGCTTTTATTTTTCATTTTTTAGAGAGGTGGGGTCTCGCTGTGTCGCCCAGGCTAGAGTGCAGTGGCGGTATCATGGCTTACTGCAGGCTGGGGTCAAGCAATCCTCCCGCCTCAGCCTATGGGATTATAGGCGCAGGCCTCTATGCCATTGTAAATGCTGTGGGTTTTGAGTATTTGACCTCTATGAGCCTCAGTTTTTGCATCTTAGCATTGAGATAATACTAATACCTCATAAGGTTATGTGAGGATTAAATGGAAAGCTCTTACAACAAGTGCTTAATAAGTATGTTATCATATGTGCTTCCAAAGTACTTTGGTGTAGGCCTTTTATAACTCTTGCCCTTTCTATTACCATTATTTGTTCTTGTCTGCCCTACTAGACTGAGATTCTCAAAAGCTGGAACTGTTTTGTTTATAATCTCAGCATCTATCAGTGCTGGGCAAATGTAAAGCTAAGAAATGATTTCTTAGAAAACTTTTTAAAAGCAGTCTTTCTTCTCCTTTCCCTTTCTTCCTTTCCTTCACTTTTTCCTCTTTGACATAGGAATTTTAAACCTACAGAAGAAGCTGAGACCCTAGGGGGAAAGATTGGGACCTTTTGTTGTTTTTCTCCATGGTGACCAAAAGAGCCTTAACATTCACCCCAGTCTGACAACTTTAGACAGGTTTCTTCTGGACGTTAGGCCCCTGACCTCCCCTTTCTTTGAGTGTTAACTTTAGAAAACTTGTGATTGCAAATTCTTCTCTGCTCCTTTGAAATGTATATAAATCTCCTTAGAAGCTTATGCCAGTGTTACGACCCGGGGAATGTCTTTCTCAAGGACCTGGGAGCCATCCCTTTGAAATGTAATTATCAAGGAAGATAGCACCCCTCTCAGTCTCTGTGGGAGGGTGGGAGCCTAACCTGTGGGTGCCTTGTTTGGAATTGTAAAACTACAGCTTGTTTTGAAGATACAAGAAAGTTTCCTTTTCCTTTGCAATTAGCAAACATAGAGGTCATGTGATTTCCCCCATAGCAGCTCTTGAAAACTTCCCAGACCTTTGTTTCGGTAGCATTGAGTTTAATCTCATATTGCAGTAGTCTTAAGGTCTTTCTTGCCTGTTTAACTTTGATGCAAATTTTGACAATGGAAATTTTAGGTTCTGCATTTATTGTTTCTTCCCAATTACAGTGATTTCTCCTTTCTCCTTGTTAAGAAGAGCTTCTCACATCCTCTGATTTCTGGAGAAATCAATTTGGACTCAAAAGATTGGAGTTTTGTGGAGTGAAGCTACTGTTTTTGTTTTGCTTTGTTTTTTTGTTTTGTTTTGTTTTGTTCTGAGATGGAGTCGCACTCTCTCACCCAGGCTGGAGTGCAGTGGTGGAATCACGGCTCACTGCAGCTTCCGCCTCCTGGGTTCAAGTGATCCTCCCGCCTCAGCCTTTCAAGTAGCTGGAATTACAAGCATACGCCACCACGCCCAGCTAGTTTTTGTATTATTATTAGAGATGGGGTTTCACCATGTTGACCAGGCTGGTCTTGAACTCCTGGCCTCAAGTAATCTGCCCACCTTGGCCTGCTACAGTGCTGGAATTACAGGCATGAGCCACCACGCCCTGCCAGAAGCTACTGTTTTAAGTCATCATTGCAAAGGGTAATGTGTGATGTGCATGAGTGGAAAGGGCAGTACATCTATTTGAGAGCATCCCAAATGAGGTCCATTCATATTATGGAAGTGCACTGGGAAATAAAAAACAGGACTACTACCCCTTTGTTTATTTATTATGAAGAGGTATGAGAAAAATGCAATTTTCAAAGAAAGAGAACTGCTGAGAATGTAGTACCTTCTCAAAGAAAGCTATATTTGGTTAAGGTGAGAAGCTAGAGGAAGCCATAGAGGGCAGGGTTACAAATCAAAAGACTTCTGCAATGGTGGAGGTAGTATGCAGAAGGGTTCCTTAAAATACAGGGATCCGTGTAAGATGAGGAGGTAAGGTGGAGTAGGATTGAGGTGGAATGAATTGAAAGATGGAAACGAAAAAGGAAGGCAGTAGGGGAAGAGGGGAGTTAATTTGGGGTATGGATAACAGGGAAGGAAATAGGTAACCTGAGAAGCTTGGTAGAGGCACTTACCACTTGCATGGGAAGGGAAATATCATGCAGACGGTCCTGTTGCTAAAGGAAGCTAGAGGATTTAGGAGAAGGGGTTTGGCACACTGGCCTGTGTCACCCATCCCTCCCTGACAACACACTACACAGACAAATTGAGTGCACTGTTGCCATTTAGTATCATTCTCCCCCCACGACTGGTGGAAGCTAAGAAGGTGAAGTTCAGGGTGCTGATCTTTTTTTTTTTCTCTGACTTTTCTTATGTGAATACTTATCCCTAGTTTCTTTTTCTTCCCCTCCCTCCTTTGCTCCCTTCCTCCCTTCCTTCCTTCCTTCCTTTTTTTTTTTCTTTTTAAATGAGACAGGGTCTTGCTGTGTTGCTCAGGCTGGAGTGCAGCAGTGCTATCATTGCTCACACAGCCTTAACTTCCCAGGCCCAAGCAGTCCTCCCACCTCAGCCTCCTCAGTAGCTGGGACTACAGGCATGTGCCACAACGCCCAGTTATTTTGAAAAGTTTTTGTAGAGATGGGTCTCCCTATGTTACCCAGGCAGGTCTCAGACTCCCTCCTCAGCCTCCCAAAGTGCTGAGATTACAATCATGAGCCACTGCACCCAGCTCTTTTCTTCTTGCTTCTTTACCTACTTTGCATAGGAGTTGGGTAGATGAGGGTAGACTCAGGAAGTGAGAGTGAAATTTAAGAAAGAAAAACAGTAAAATGAAAAGCTGAAAAATAAAAAAGTTTACTTCTAAATGTATGTACGCAACTCAGGTTGGGGGACTAGCATGTAAATACAAATAAAACGGAGTTAAGTATGCTTATTTATTGAATCCTGTTGTGAGAACTTAAGAGGAAAAGAAACTAAGGCAAATCTGACATTTTCCTCTTGGACCTGAGGAAGGTCCAAGAAAAAACAATGTGGAAGTGAAGTCAGAGAGATAACATCAGGACATTGGACATCAGGAGGAACTTTCAGGTCTGATTCTAGTGCCAAGGAAGCCATGAACCAAGGAAGCCATGCTCTTTCCTGGAGCCTTTCAGCATAGGAGAGTTACTCCTCTGCCAGCGCTGGGGAAGGGGTAACTTTCCCATACCCCAGGTGAAGGAGCTTTCCTTTCAGGGCCTTCCTGCTAGACAGACTGTGCCGGGGCCAGCCTGTTTCTCCCAAGTGCCCTCACCATGGCCTCCTTCATTTCCTTGTAATGATGGGGTTGCACATGGGGGTAATGATGGTGTACAGGAGGGAGAAAGGTTTGTCTTTGTCAGGCCCGTGTGTGCTGTGGGGGTTCATGTAAGAGAATGAGGTGTAGAGAAAGATGACCACAGTCAAGTGAGAGGCACAAGTAGATAAAGTCTTCCCCCGACCTGAGGAGGAGGCTCTGCTGAGGATGGTGGCAAGGATGCACACATAGGAAGTGACAATGAGCACCATGGGGCTGAGCAGCACCACGATGGCATCGGCAAAGATTGCCCTCAGACTAAACTGAGGGTCCCCACAAGAGAGGCCGATCACCATGGGGGCCTCACAGAAGAAGTTTTCTATGTGGTTGTCTCTGCAGAAGGGCTCTCGGAATGAAACATACTCAAGAAAGATGCCATTGATCAGTCCAAAGAACCAGGCAGTTCCCACAAGCCTGAGACAGACCTTCTAGCTTATGATCTGGACGTAGCTAAGTGGGTAGCAGATAGCAACGTAACGGTCATAGGCCATAAAAGCCGAGAGGATGCACTCGTCCACACCAGCACAGAAGACAAAGTACATCTGGGTCATGCAAGATACAAAGGAGACAGCGTGGTTCCTGACCACGAGGTAAATCAACATCTGTGGGATGGTAGTAGTGATGAAGCAGACATCCAGGAGAGACAGGTGGCTGAGGAAGAAGTACATGGGGCTGTTGAGCTTGGGGTCTGTTCAGGTGATAAAGATGTTTAGGCCATTCATGGCCATGGTGAGACTGTAGAGGGCCAAGAAGAGGGCAAAGAGCAATGCTCATGTGGAAGTGGAGCTCTGCTGAAAGCCCACGAGGATAAATTCTGTCACTGTGCTGCCATTCCTTAGCATCTGGGGCCTGCTTGAGGAGGGAAGATGGAAAAAGCACAAGGATATAGCTGTGGGGTAACAGAAGGTACCAACTTGGTCCCAGAAGCCCAGTTATAAAACAGGATAGATGAATGGTGGTCATCCTTTTGGAACTTAGTAAACTCTAGTAATTTGGCAGTGTTATGGGGTGGTAAAAATGCCAGGGTCACCACAGGCTGCATACATAGAATCATAATATCAAAACATGAAGGAAGTGCTGGTTGTAATGTGCTCTACTCTGGTTTGATCAGGCATCAAGTGAAGTATTGCATCTGCTCCAGAACCCTCAATATTGAAGGATTAGCCACTAACCAGGATGCGTTCAGAGGTGAAAAAATAAAATAATTGGGTCTGGGGCCCATGTCAAATGAGGAAAAGTTTTAGGAATTGAAGAATGGAGTGTGTGAGGGAAAGGGATGGTGGCTATCAGCCTATAGAAGATTGTATTTAGGAAATACTTGAGATATTTGAAGGTGTATTTTTCTAGAAGAAAAAAATGCTGAATCACTGTGTGCCTAATTTTTTTTTTTTTTTTTTTTTGAGACGGAGTCTCGCTCTATCACCCAGGCTGGAGTGCAGTGGCGTGATCTCGGCTCACTGCAAGCTCCGCCTCCCGGGTTCACGCCATTCTCCTGCCTCAGCCTCCTGAGTAGCTGGGACTACAGGCGCCCGCCACCGCGCCTGGCTAATTTTTTGTATTTTTAGCAGAGACGGGGTTTCACCGTGGTCTCGATCTCCTGACCTTGTGATCCGCCTGCCTCGGCCTCCCAAAGTGCTGGGATTACAGGCGTGAGCCACCGCGCCCGGCTGCCTAATTTAAAATGATGAATGGGTTGAAGTTTCAGGGAAAATAAAAACATTCTAATCCTCAGGATTGTCCCTCAGCTAACAGTGATTTGCACCTTTTCTGGAGACATGTCAAGCTCTTCCCAGTCACCCACCTATTTCCAGACTCACTCGCCCAGCAGTTGCTGCTGCTACCGCAGCCACCCATGCTGTGCGCGCTGGAGCTGGGGACTGGGTGGGCGCTCATGCATGCCTTCCTAACAGGAGACAGTTTTCCTCCTGGGGTTGGAATTTACGGTTACACACAATTAGGTGGAAAGGATCCAACTATCCCTGTGTGAAAAGGGAAGCTATGAGCAGGGCATATATTTAACCTTTCTGGAATGGACCTTCAGAGAACTTTCAGCTGTCCCTTTGTCTCTGGCAATAAATCTTGTTCTTTTTCCATTTTCAGAGAATGAGCAGTCACAATTCTTATGCTCTTATCTCTCTATTGTAACTTTTAGGAAGTTGTTATGTTCATATTAAGTCTGTCTTATGCTTTTCATCTTGTTTTGGGGTTAGGATATATCAGATCCCTTCCCTTCAGATGCTTATACTTTTTTTTTTTTTAACTTAATTATAGAGACAGGTGCTCACTATGTTGCCTAGGCTGGTCTTGAACTTGTGGCTTTAAGTGATTCTCCTGCCTTGGCCTCCGAAAGTGCTGGGATTACAAGTATGAGCCACTGCACCCAGCCTCCTCACCTTCAGATGCCTATAGATGATAACTATATTCCTGCTTAACTTTCAGTTCTGCGAGCCATTTCTCTTCATTTTCTCCTCTCCTACTCCCTTTTCTATACACTCTCACTCTACACTCTGTTAGTCTTTTTTCCTTTTTCAATCTACTTCCAATCCTCATTCTTCTCCTTCTCCTTTTCCCATTTGTGGTGATGGTTGCCTGCCGTTTATCTTACTCTGGTCAAACTCCCCTGTCTTCTCCATGTCTCTCAATCTCACATATTCTCGATCTGGATTTAGAGCTACCTACCCTCTCACTGCCACTCCTTGCAGCTCTAGATTCCCTCCAATTGTGATTTGATGCCAGGTCAAGGTAGTGACTGGGCAGTAGGCTACTCCCATCATCTTTACTTTGGGATACTTTTCTTGTGCCTAGGACTTCTCTTGGGGGCCCAGAAAAGGAAGAGAAGGGCAGAAAGCACTGCTTAAGATGTTTCTTGGAAGCCTGTGCTCAGTGGACATGTTGGGGCTTAGGTCACCGTCTGGGCAAAACAAGTCAGTGAGCTACACTGCAGAGAAGCCTGTGATTTGTCTAAGAAGAAACTGAGATTTGACCTGAGGAATTAATAGGCCCTACTGGAGGATAAATGCTTACCTGTGGTTTATTGTGCCAGAAAGAATTCTGTGATACCCAGCGTTTAGCGCCTTGTTAGCTACCATTAGAGGTTAATCGGTGAAGGATTTGTCTAAATAAATGGGACAATATCATGGAAATCACATCCTACCTCATTCTGTTTCTTGGCTGATAATGATGTTTGTCACTGAATCAAGTATTGAGTAACAGAAAACATCTCATAGTGTTTGAAGAGAAGCTGGTCCAGGTAGGATCATCTGACCTGGCCGGCCACTCTGGAAGAGAAGGTGTGTCTGATGACTTTGTTCTTCTATACTTTTAGAGATGAATGTCTACTTAAATGACATTGATAAGTTGCATGTGTATGCACTTTATAGTATAGGCGTGAAAACTTACATGCCCCTTGAAGGAGTGAAAGATGTGCCATCCCCAAATATGCCAGACTGGTATGTTATTATTATTTTGAGATGCAGTCTCGCCCTGTCACCCAGGCTGGAGTGCAATGGCATGATCTCGGCTCACTGCAACCTCCGCCTCCTGGGTTCAAGCAATTCTTCTGCCTCAGCCTCCCAAGTAGCTGGGATTAAAGGCACATGCCACCATGCCCAGCTAATTTTTTGTATCTTTAGTAGAGACGGGGTTTCACCCTGTTGGCCAGGCTTTCTCGAACTCCTGACCTCATGATCCGCCTGCCTTGGCCTCCCAAATATTGATTATTTTGAGTTAAACACATTGAAGGCCAGGTGTGGTGGCTCACTCCTGTAATCCCAGCACTCTGGGAGGCCGAGGCAGGCAGATCACCTGAGGTCGGGAGTTCGAGACCAGCCTGACCAACATGGAGAAACCGCGTCTGTACTAAAAATTAGCTAGGTGTGGTGGTGCATGCCTGTAATCCCAGCTACTCAGGAGGCTGAGGCAGGAGAATCGCTTGAACCCAGGAGGCGGAGGTTGTGGTGAGCTGAGATTGCGCCACTGCACTCCAGCCTGGATGACAGAGCAAGACTCCATCTCAAAAAAAAAAAAAAAAAAAAGGAAAAAGTTGTAGTCTCAGAGCTGACCTGTCTCTTACATCGAGCCATAAAGATTCCACTGGCAGGGGTACTTTCTTCATACCAGGGTGAAAAAATAGCCCTTATCACCAGAGACTTAAAGGCTACAATAAACCTAAATAAACATACTGAACAAAGTAACCCCACCTTCCACCTGCTTCACACGCCCTCCCGTATATCTCCTAGTGACTCTCCTAAAACATTTTACTGCCTCTAGCCAGATTTTCTTTGTCCTGTCATTTCTTCTCAAAATCATTGTTCTTTTTCTAAAACAATACAAAATGCCTTGCTTTGACCACTATCTTGTAAAGATCCTCATGTATATATAAAACTAATATAATTTGTATACTTTTATTAATCTGCTTAGTGTCAATTTGGTTTCTAAATCCAGCTAAAGAGCCCACTAAGATCTAAAAGGAGGGTTAAAGGTGATCTCTGACTCCATGACACCCCATATACTGTTTGCTAAAAATCTCATTCTGCCCCATCTTTTTCAGATGGTATATTTGGACCTTCTCAGATTTTAAAAATTCTGTGTGTGTGTCTGATGACTTTGTTCTTCTATACTTTTAGAGATGAATGTCTACTTAAATGACATTGATAAAAAGATGACCACAGTCAAGTGAGAGGCACAAGTAGATAAAGTCTTCCCCCGACCTGAGGAGGAGGCTCTGCTGAGGATGGTGGCAAGGATGCACA